GCATAGCAGTCTACGGTCATACCACCCTGAACATGCCTGATCTCGTCAGAACTGCATAGCAAGACCCTGTCTCAAAAAGACTAAATAAATAAATAAACAAACAAACAAATAAATAAATAAATTTTTTTTAAATGTGAAGAAGAAAGGACAGAAGACAGGTAACAAAGCAGAGGTCATTGAGGCAATCCTGGAAAACAATAGTTGTTCAAAACAGAGTAGGGGCAGAGAAGAGGAGAAGTCTTTGTCTACAGATACACTTTTTGGTAAAATCAACAGGATTTCTTGACAGACCAACTACAGGATGTGAGAAAAATAAAGGAGTAAAGCACAAGTAAAGGTTTGTCCTGAACCAACACAAGAAGGGAATATTCTTCAAGTGGAATGCGGAAGGGTAGGGAAGTGCAGATTCAGTGTGGGAAGTAGATGGGGGCTGGGAGTTTAGTTTGGGACTCCTTGAGACAGAAGGTGAGCAAGAAAGTATATTAGCTGCCTTCATCCATGAGGGGTACTTTCTAAGGCCCTAGTGGGTGTCTGAAGCCACAGACATTACAAAACTCTATTTGTACAACTTTTCCCTGTACATACACACATTTGCTAACGTTCAACTTGCAAGTTGGGCATAGTTGCATACTAACAACAACAACAATAATAAAATAGAACTGTTACAACATTGTGCTGCACTATAGGTTATGTGAGTGTGGTCTTGCTTACTCACTCCCCCGCCTGTGTATTTTCAGCCTTTCACTTAAAGGAACCACTATCAGCTTCTTTGGCATATTGGAATTTCCTGCATCACTACTCAGCACACTATTAAATGTGTTAACTACTTTCCTCATCTCTGGGACAAAAGACCCAACATACACAACCTAAAGGAGGAGAAGTTGATTTTGTTTCCCAACTTAGAAGTTTAAATCCTATTCCGCAGGTTTAACCACATAGACATGGTGGAAGGGTTTGGGTGGAGGAATACTGCTCATGCCATGGCAGTCAGGAAGCAGAGAGAGAAGGGAGTGTTATGACTTGTATCTAGATGTCCCCCAAAGCCTCATGCAGTCATAGGTAGCACTGTTCAGAGGTGGCCTGATCTAGGGTGTGTGAATATGGATTAAGGATGTGTGCTAACTAAATTACTCCATTGACTATTTAGCATAGTTTTGGCTGTGAATAATAGGAAGGCCTACCCTGGGTATGGTTGTCATGGACCAATTAGCTTATAGCCTGAATAGGATAAAAAAGAAAGGGAGACCTGTTGCTTGCCACTTCTTGCCTGTTCTGCAATAGACTGTTTCTCCTCTGACATTTCTCTCTGCCACACCACCTTGCCAGGAGCCAGCTGACAATGGACTGAAACCTATACAAACTGTAAGCTAAATAAACCTTTCCTCCTTTAACTTATGGACCCTGGGGATTTTGTGCCAGCAAAGAAAAGGTAATTATGACAGATTTTGATGCTAGAGAAATGGTGCCCTTGTTTGACAGTACCCTGACAATGCAGTTCAGAAACCTTAGATGCTGGCTTGCAAGGAGAGTTTGTAAAGGTTTATAGGTGATGGCTGAAGAAGGAATGCTGTGCGCTGAGCTCGATGGGAGAGTCTGGTCAGTACTGAAAACATCAGAATTATGATAGAAAGGCAGCTGGTGAAGACCAGAGTCAGGAGGTTTCTGTTGGAAAGAAGGATTCCATTGGCAGTTAGACTCGAGAGTATGTGTGTTATACTTTGGCAGAAAATTTGTCTGCATTTTCTGCTCATGGCCAGAGACATTACAGGAGACAGAAAATAAGAGCAGCAAACTCATTAACCTAGCAGAAGAAATTTCAAGGCAGTCCAATATTGAAGTGGTGGCATGGCTACTGTTGGGAAATTTTAGTCAGATTTATGTTGAGAATCAAGAGCAAATGGCCCAGCAGAATGCTTTAAAATGTTCTGAGTTTGGTGAGAAAGGAAACTTCAGTAAAGCTGTGGACTGCAAAGATGAAGCAAGGAGAACTTGGTTGTGGAATAGATTAGCAATAAAAAGCTGCTTACTTTGGAAATGGACAATAGAAAAGATGGCCTAAGGGCATCATCAGAACCAGCAGGACTCCACCCTTTGCAGCCTCAAAACTGCAAAAGTGAAGGCTGTTTTGAGAAGACAGCTCCAGAGCACCACATTCCAGAACAGTGGTGACCTAGGCAATTTGTTCCTCAGGATTGGATTCATGGAACTCAGCCAACCAGGCACTTGGCCCCTACAGCTGATAGAGAAGGAAGCCTGGCTACTGCTCCAGCTAGTGGCAGACTTTGATGTCACTCACAAGGTGCTGGTTTTAGGCACATGCAGAATGCAAGAGTTGTGGGGTCCAGAGGGTTTCCACCTGGATTTCAGAAGAAGGCATGGAAGGCCAGGCAGTGTGCCCCTGAGAGGACAGTGTGTGAAGCTGACTGTGAAGTTGAAGGTCAACAGAGACTCCAGAAGGTTGGAGAATCCAGGAACATGGAAAGTCACAAGGAGTAAGCAAAGCCAGCCCAAGAGAGAAGCCGTGAGAGCTACAACTGCTTGCTTAGAGGCAGAGCTACCCAAATCCTTTGGAGCTCACATCTTGCCACAGATTATTCCCAGGTGCTGGACATGGAACTACAGGATCTAATAATTGCTCTGCTGGGTTTTGGTCTAGGTTTGGTCTCATTCCTTTCTATCCCTTTATTTGTACCTTTTGGAATGGGAATATTTATCTTGTGCAATTGCATGTTAGAAAGGTTTAACTTATTTTTCATTTCTACAAGGTATCACAGCTAAGAGTTTGCTCTATATCTGAGGAGACTTTGGTGTTTTTGTTTTTTTGTTTGGTTGTTTGTTTTCCAGTACTGGGAATCAAACTCATGACCTTGCACTTGCCAGGCAGGCACTGTGCCGCTGAGCTAAATCTCCAGCCCCCTGAGGAGACTTTGGACTTTGACTTTTCAGCAATGCTGAAACTGTCAGGATTTAGCAACTGTTAGAGATGGACTAAATGTATTTTTGTAAAGGGACATGCATGAGTCTTTTGGGGACAGGGTGGAATGTTATGGCTTGTATCTAGATACCCTCTAAAACCTCATACACTCATAGATGGTGGTTTTCAGAGGTGGCTGGATCTAAGGTATGTGAATATGAATTAAGGGTGTATGTTAACTAAATTACTCCACTGATTACTTTAGCATAGTTCTAGGTGTGGATAATGGGAAGACCTACCGTGGATGTCATTGGCATCAACTAAATGGCTCATACCTTGAATGGAATAAAAGGGAAAGGAAGGCTTGCTACTTGCTGATTCCTACCTGCTCTGCCATAGACTCTTTCTCCTCTGACATGTCTTTGTGCCATGCTACCCTTAAAACCAGCCAACTATGGACTGAAACCTCTACAAACTATAAGCTAAAATAAATCTTTCCTCCTTTAACTTGGGAGCGTTGGGTATTTTTCCCCCAGCAATGAAAAAGTAACTAAGACAGGGAGGAAGAGGGAAGAAAGATACACACTTTCAGGTCACAACCCCAAAGATACCTTTTCTGACCAGAACCCACCTCCTAACAGCATCAGCGATAGTGCTTCCATTGTCCAATTTTTTTCAAACCCCCATCTATGAACACACAAGGCTCTTGGGGGACATCTAGATATAAACCATACATGATATAAGAAAAGAGTTGTTTAAACAAAAGCACTGCTATGCCACAGTTGATCAATAGCCAAGATGGTTCCCATGTGACCAATGGACAAGTAGCACAAGTAGCACAGCATGAATACACTAGACCAAGGGCTGAGTCACCTTCTGAGCAGATGGAGTGGGACAGTATGAGATTTCTTCATACTACTCAGAACAGTGCATGATTTAAAACTTAAGAATTGTTTGCTTCTGGGATTTTTCCACTTACTATTTTCAGACAATAATTGACCACCTCAGGTAACTGAAACCACAGCAAGTAAAACTGTAGGTAAGGGGAGATTGCTATTGCTAAGTGCATATTCGATGGAAGAGTCTTGGGCTTGAGAGAGAGGTCAGGGCTGGAATTTTAAAATTTTGAAAGTCATTAGTAAGTAAATGCTTTTAAAATCATAAGACTGATAAAATCCCATATGTTCAAATCCAGTAAGATTATCTGATTCACCTCAACCACATTATCTACTCTCCCTGCTTTCATTTTCTTCCTCTCTACAATAGTAACATTGAGTTAAATCAGTGCTTTTCATTTGTGTTCCATGGAGCAGGAGGGTTTGCACAGAGGTGTTTGCCCTGCCTTTGCCTAAACTAATTAGTGACCCTATATTTTTACAATAAAAAAGTGCACATTTGGATATGAGACACACAGGCATGTAGGATGTGTATATTATAGTAGATGAAGGTGTGTGTGCACAGAGTAACTTTCTGAATGAAATAATTATGAGTATCTCATTTTTTCAAATGACCCCCATATATCTTCTTATAACTGATTATCAAAGGAATAGAGAAGCACAGACAAAGAGAGAGACAGAGAGAGAGACAGAGAGAGAGACAGAGAGAGAAATTAACAGTAGGGAAAATTATACTAAAAATGCTTTCCACAGTCAACATATGCTTACGGTTTCCTCTCTAAAATATACTGACTTGAAAATCAAATTCAAAAATATAAAGATTCCATTGTTGGTTTCAGTTAATTGCAGTTCAGTATTCAAAATTTTCTCTGACCTTGTGACCAAGAACAATTAGTAATGTAGCTATAGAAAAATACATGAAATTAACATTATAAAAACTTTGGGAATACTTTTCAATTAGCTTCCCTTTACAGAGGGGAGCTGGAGCCCAAGGACCATCCATCATGCTAAATGGGAACCTAAGTCCTCTCCTGACTCTTGGTCCTGTGCCTTTACCCTACACTGACTTCAAGGCTGCTTAGAAATTCCTCTGAGATTTATAATTAAGGCAGAAATTAGCAGGCATGTATAATCTTCATGTTTTCTTGATGCACTAACTTTACATTAATGCTTTTTCTACTTTCCTACAGTTTTAAGGGTCATCCTTGCCATTGCCTTTTGCCTGGTGTCTGGAGTCCTAATGGTGCTGCTGTTTATCCTCGTCCGCCATGGGCCCTGCTGGCAGAGAGAGTCCTATAGGAACATCTGAACTGATGACTGCACAACAGCCAATGAGCAGCGCCAAACTCCAGTGATATAGCATCTCCCAAGGATGAAGTATTCAAAGGACAGCCTTTTGCCACTGGCCACACTTTCTTTTTGGACCAGCTTAGAGCACAGTCTGAACCTACAGCCACCCAGGGACAGCTGCTTGACCAACAGGTTACTGGGGTCTTCTCAACACTGAGTGAGGGTGTAGGCTGCTCTAGTGGCTAGAAAGAGGCTGTTCTGCAGAGAACAGCTGTACTCCCTGACAGAGATGTCCAGAGAGAACCAAGAAGCAAATGAGGAGAAAGTGGGACAAATACATAGATTAGACAAGACTAGATACAGGGAAATGTTAGAGTAGATGTAGTATTAGATAAGATGATTCTGGAGGCTGGGGATATCATTCAGTGGCACAAGCACCTGCCTGGCAAACACAAGGTCATGAATTGGATTCCCAGCACCAAAAAAAAATGATCCTTAAGAAAAATACACAATAAGAAATTATAAATAACTTTTATTTAGCTATTAAGCAGGTTTAATATATATGCACACACATTCATGCATAGCCCTCGTGCCCTCACTAGCAGTTCCTACTCAGTGTTTGATAGTTAACAGACTTTTGGGTGTGTACCTAACCCACATACATATGTATATTTATATTTTAAATGCCTTTGAAGGGGTGTTTAATTCTCAGAAACTAATATGAATTTTTCAGATCCTTTCCCACAATTTCAGTGTTGCAGGGGGAACTGGAAAATCCATGGTTATTTTATTTCAACTGACATTATCAGAGTTATATTTTTATACAGTTTGAATGTCTTTGTTTCATTTTAAAATTCTGAGCTTTTATACTGATAAGAGCCATTCATGGCTATGGTAAAATGATGGTGTGTTTTAATTGCCACAAATATATTTAATTTTTTTTGGTACTGGTAACTGAACCCAAGGCCTCAAACATGCTAAGTGAATGTGCCACCTCTGAGCTATATCCCCAATCTTTTCTGAATTTTCTAAGTGGTGAGATAGAAAAATGGACCGAGAGTCAGCCCCCTGCCTCAACACTTCTCTGGCTTTGGGCCAACAAATTGGAACAAATTCTTTTATACCTTCAACCTTGGCTTCCTGATGTAAAGAGGAAGAATGAGGACTGGATGGATAGAAAAGTCACACCTGGTTCTCATGCTGTGTGAACTATTTTTTTGTTTGTTTGCTTTATGCCATGGGTGGGTCATTACCCAAGCAGGTACTTTCACAAATGGTACTACTGCAGCTTAGTACAATGACACTTACTAAAATTTACTCTACATAGTTTTGTCTTTGAACACCCAACTCTTCAACTAGTGAGAAAGTCAATCTCATTTCTTAGTCGAGTTCTCTATTCTTCATATTTGACTGAGATCCCAGGGTGTACCTAGGAGAAGTCAGAGAGAGGTCTTTTGAAGACAAACAGAGGACATTTGTGCCAAAGCTCCCAAGACCACACTCTTGGGGCCCACCATCTGGTACTTCCTAATCCAGGATGCTAGAACTTTTGCCCAGCACAAAAGTCCATCTCCCCAACCCCTCCTTCCCCACCCTATCTTTTAGTCTCAGCATTTTCCTCTCTTCTTGAATCCCATAGCTTCTATTGTTAAATGCCAAGCACCTGCCTCTATAACCTTAATGTTTACATGGTTCTCACTGAGCCAAAACTACTGCAAACAGAAACCTGAAAAGGACCTCCCTCTTTCCCCCTTCTCTATCCCTGTCTTCCTCCCTCCCTCCTTCCTTCCTTCCCTCCCTCTCTCCCTTTCTTCCTTCCTTTCTTCCTTCCTTCCTGTGTTGAGGATTATACCCAGGACGTCATATACTCCCAAAAGCTCTACCACTGACCCATAGCCCTAGCCCTAGCAGTTTTTTCTCTCTTGCTCAACTTCTGACTCCTTCTGCAACACCAAGTAAAAGCCAAGTAAAGGGTAAGGAAGGGTGTGGGTTCTTAGCTTGAGAAAGGGAAAAACGTCAGCAAGAACAAAGGACAAATTTCCGTCTTCATAAAGTAGTCAGCCACATCCATAGTTAAGCCATAATATTTACACTAATAAATTATAAGACTTAAAAATAGAAGTATAAACCACAAGGGATGAATTTTCTCATTCATTCAACAAATACCGGTGGAGGACTTGCCATTTGATATTCACCAATTTAGATGCTAGATTGTCCATCCCTACTGGATTATGAAGGTGTTTTTTATTTCAATAATGATCTCATACAGGGTTGGTAGAATGTAAAAGTAAAACCTTTCACAACCTTTTCTCCATATCATCTTTTAATATTGTCAGTGGCTTAAAGGACCTCTACTTTCTACTGGTTCTGAGGGATTTTTTTCACCTCCTCCATTTTTCTTCCTTCTAGCATTTCTTTTGATTATTGTAAAGAAAGCTCTCGGGTTCAGCTTAGCTGTTTGCCATCTCCAGAGCTACTCTGTTGATAAATACTGTAATTGTTTTTTCATATTCCATGGCAGAATGAAAAATCACAAGCAAAAAATGAACTATATGGCTAAAGCAAAAAGCACAAATGTGCTGTAAAATTTCTCAGGAAGTACACTGATTATCCAACTTCAGTGAAAGAGAAGGTAAACTCTCTTTACTGAGAACAGTTGCTTTTTCAAATGAGTCAGATATAGGTCCAGTTGCCATCATGATAAACGGTGTTTGAAAGATGATGGGTAGAGCTGAGATCATCTCTGCTCTGAAATGTATCCCTTGCCATGTCAACCACTACAGAAGCCTTTGAACAGCATCCAAATGAGGCAATAATCACTATGAGAATTACAAAAAATATATATACAGGAAAGTACTACGGAAGAGTTATATGTAGACTATCCCAAGCTAGAGTGATATTTCATGAAGAAAGTACTAAGAAAATATCATTATGGAAAGGACAGTTAGTGCTTTCAAAGAGTGCAAGTACTAGAGTCAAATATTCTACTGGAAGTCATTCAACCAACAGCTTTTTACATTAGGCCCGGCATTTCTTCTCCTTGAATTCAATCTTGTCTCCTAGCCTCCCAACTTCCGTTGTTTTTCTGTCTTGTTCTACCATTATTAACACTGATTCTTCATAGCCATGAAAGGTTCTTGGTAAATGAAAGCTAAAGTGTTAACTGTGTTCTTTTAAAACCCGTCACCAGATGCCAGGTGTGGTAGTGCACACCTGTAATCCCAGCACCCAGGAGCCCAAGATACAAAGATCGCCATGAGTTCAAGGCCAGTCTGAACTACACAGTGAGACCCTGTGCAGAAACTCTATTGTGCAATCTATTTCTCCAGTAGATGAAACATTTTAGTACTTTAGATCAGTACTTTCAGAAAGTACTTTCAGTACTTTCTAATGCTCTACACTAACAGAAATGGAATGCAGATTGCAAATAAAAGCCAGATATCTGATTCTTAATGTGCTAATAGCCATATTTTTAAAAGATTAAAAAGATAGAATGAAATCTAGCACTGAAATTGTATTTAGCCAAAAGTATCTCAAATGTTATTTCAATGTCCAATTAATATTTTTAAATGTTAATGAAATATTTGGTGGGTTTTTCATACTCCCTGTTTAAACTCTGTTGTGTGTTTTACCCTCACAGCGCCTCTCCATTTGCAGTAGCCACATTTCAATCCCCAGCAAGCACATGTGCTGGGGACTAGTGTATCAGATGACACATTGTCAAAAGGTGACTTTTTTTTAAAGCAGGAGAATGTATTCTTGGTTATTTATAAAATCCACTTTCATGCTATTATAAAGAAATAAAAATCATCTTTATTACACATCTTTGTTATTTTTTGTGTGTGGCTAATGATGAAAAGGTTTTCTGCAATGTTTTATTTTAAACTTGTCTGAACAGAAGCAGCCCAGATCGTTTTAAAACTGATCTTAAACTAAATGGACTAATTTCTCTTCTTATTAAATGTTTTAAGAAAGAATTTGATAACAGACTTCGAAAATAAATGCCTCCAAGTTTTTGAGAATGTGCCTTTTAGAAGTTCAAATTTTGGATTTCAAGTAATTTATAATAAAAACAAAAATAAGTGCAGATAATTCAGAAGAGTATAAAACACAGAGTAAAAGTCCTTCCCACCCAATCCTTCCCACTCAATCCCAGAGACAATCTTGTTGACAATGTCTAGTTTTAGTTCTTCTATTGAATAGCAGTAATTTTATGAACTGTGACATTATTTTCTGCAATTTTCCATCTTTCTCACTTTTATAACTCATTGTGTCCTCTTATTTGTATTTTCATTTTCTTCAAGTAATTCTATAAAGATGCATGGATGATAAGTTTTCTGATTCTACAAATATTTCTATATTTCCCTCTCTTTTACCAGTCAACAGTCTGGGTTAATTCAGCTTCAAAATCTTTTTCCCTCAAAACTGTATTTTTTTAATTTTAAAAAATATTTAGTGAGACGATATGTCCAGCTCTGAAACACTACATTTAACAGGAAGGCAAATTTGTTTTCTTTTTAAAGTATATGTGTGAAATTTTATCTACCTCCTTTGTCAAATACTCTTTCTCAAAAAACAAAGCCATACACACAAAAAAATTTGTGTGTATACATGTGAAAGGAGAAAACAACCAATGAAAAGTTAACAGATTTGAGTCCATGCAAACTTGGCTAAGCCAAAGCTGAGGAGCTTTCTAATGCTCTACACTTGCAGTCAAACACTTGAACTAAGCCACATAAAATACTCTTGGTATCTTTTATCTGGAAAACCCAAGCCCTAAATGCTCCAATTTTGTTGCCCATACCCTTTTGACTGCCGGCTGAAAGGAATCTCCATCTCCAGAACTTCCATCCACGCAGTTGGGCTCCCCATTTGGTTCATTTTGTGCTTCTTGTTTCCTGAGACCTGCTGCCAGGACCATGGCATTGTGATGGTTGAACATCTTGATGATGGCAGTGTTACTACTCTCCTTGGTGGATTTAGAATTGGAAGTAGAGGGCACAGACGAAACACCATAGCCCTCATCTAATGGTGTATCTTCCAAAGCTGTCAAATCTAATAGTGGGTTTTTCACTCCTAATGAAATCATTGTTGTTAACCCTTTTTCATCTATTTTGGCACATTCTGCAAAGAGATCCTCTGACCCTGTATTTATTTAGCCAGTCCCTATGAAAATAATGGGACTGGAAAAAATGTGTCCAGAATTCTTTTTCTGTCATATTATGAGGAACATTTTCTACATATTTCATTTTTACTTCTGGATAGGTCCTAAATATGGACTCCATGATATCAGAAGTTAAATTATATCTCAAACCATTACAGCCATCTGTTTGGGGTCGGACATCAGCCAGGAATGCTGCAAAAATGCCAATATCCTGCTTGCGATTGGAGGTGGAAGAACTACCTGCTGCATTCACATTTAAACCACTGACCCAGAATTCCTCAGCACTGATCACTTGACTCACAACAAG